TCAGACCCAAACCATTGAAAAGATTAGGACACAAGAAAATAAAGTATATTGATAAGGATCTTTCTTTTATGAAACCTCATGATCTGTGGATTGTCTTGCACTGTCAAAACAACTTTGGGCCTGAATGTTTGTGTTCTGTTATCCATAATTGTAAAAAGAAGGTTCAAGATGATAAAAATGATGGTTTGATTCATGGGGAGGATTTAGAGCCACAAAAAACCTGTGACTGGTTTGACAAATCATTTATCTTTCCATCAATGGTCTTTTACGGTGTTGATGAGGATACCCGTAAACTAAGATGGAGGTCGGCGCTAGTGGAGTCCAAAAAGAAGAATGAAGAGAAAATGAAGGTTTTGCGGGCTAATGAAATTGTGTATATTCTTGAAAAGATCAAGTTTTTGGAGAATCTGATCTCTATACTTAAACAACGAGATTTTAAATCAAAATGCAATGCTTTTTTGTTTTTCGAAACTTATGATTTATCTTTTCTTTTTCCCTTAATTGTTTTTTGGTGGCGTTATCTTTTGGAACTCTGTATTTTGGTTTGTTACAGGCAAATTTGGTGAAAAAACCAAAAATTGTGCACTTTTATCGACTAGTAATATTGGTAAAATTATTTAAGGTGGACTTTATAAAGTAAACTATCGTAAAAAAAAATTTGATGATGTGAGTTTTAATATATAACAGTTGAGAAATACTTTTTATCACATATATAATAATATTATAAAAAACTCTATTATATATTTATAAATGCAATTTTACTTTGTTGAAGCTCGCGATTTTTCGATCTAGATCGCTCACAGCACCAATTTGTTAAAACATGATTTTATATATCATAAAGAATATAACAAGCGGAAAAAATATGATCTCAACAATATCATTATATAATCACCGACCACCATCAAAAGTAAAGCGTAATTGAATACTAAGGGATCCTTTTATACTCAACGGATCTTAACAACTCGACTAATCCATGACCAATTAAACTGACTGTGAGCATTGTGAAGATTTTTTTATTACACGTTTTGAAATTATTCAATCAGACTCTATAGTTTTGATGCTAACATGGCCGTTGTAACCAAGTTTTTTTTTATTTTAACTTCAATATTTTGACTAATCAAGTATGTGGTCAAAATTTGCAGGAACTATTTGCTTCTCGATGACCCACAACACATTGGTGAGAGCTTCCATGATCATGAACTTATGTTTCTTAAACTTGATAGCTAACTGAAATATCATCATCATCATAGTGCACAAAAAAATGTAAAATACACAGACGCCAGTTCCACATGCTTCCGTTGATGATTTCTATCTCCAGATTGTGTGAATGGTTGTTTGAAATAGGTACCTTTCGTAATGCATATCATCAAACAGTTCTTCTAAGTCATTTATCTTTAACACATATCCTTCAAACAAAGCAGAAAACTCAATTTGTAATTCTTTCATCAATCAAAAAAGAAATTTGTAGTTACAAATCACAAATCTTTGGGGGTGGTTATTAGGATCTTATGAGCATGCGTAACTAACTGCACTTGTCGCCAAGAAAAACATTTTCACAACTGGCAAATCGTGAGTTTTTCCTAGAATGATGTATCTAAGCTTAGATGTTCGGATGGCTTTTGAGTATATTCAGCTATGTTGCATACAGTAGTACCTCACAATTCGTGAAGACTTATTGGAGAATTGATGGTGAAGAAAGGAATCATTGTCTTGTCCGATGATTAGTGTTTAATGTGCTTTCTCTAGAGACAATGTATCTTCACTGTGATAGGAGTAATGTATTTGAAGAGATCCTTTGGTAATACATTCTGAGGTTTAATTTTACTTTTAGTTATGAAATAATTACTAAAACAATCTTCAAAAGTTGTCTCTTTACTAGAATAACTCTGCCCCAAATTTGAAAAACTAAACTAACCTTAACAAAATGATTAAAGATATTAAAATCCATGTTTTCGTTTTTATAACAAAAATGCCATTATATTTAAATTTTAGGATTGCTTTTTTTTTTTTACATTTATCAATATAATGAACAAAAAATTAAAAAAGAAATAAACAAAATTAGAAATACATAAACAAAAATATTAGAAACCCTAATTGTGTCTCTTTAAAAAAACCTCTCAAATCTCTGCGGCGATTGTGGTTCCGATTTTGAAGCCGTCTTCTTCTCCGGCGAGATTGTGTAACTGTTCTAGTTTTAAGGCCATAGATTACGGCCAGAAGTAGGTAAGGTATCTCCATTCTCCTTTATATTCTCCTTTATATGTTCGTCTTCTCCGTTTTGTTTTCTTCTTTTCAAGGTAATAAATTATTTTTCTTTGCAAGGGTTGAATTTCGGGTGAAAGGCGTCAAAATTCACCATATCTACTCTACCGCTGCTTTCCAGCAGATGTATTCCATCGTCCTTCCACACAAGATATTCTATCTTTGGCTTATTTGCTCGTGTTTTTAGTTGATATGATGATTCAAGAGATATGCCCACCAACTGTTCGACGAAATTCCGCCAATGATGGTAGAGTTATTCGTAGATTTTCATTAATGGTTGATTTATTTTCCTAGTGGTGGTAGATTTGTTGTCAAATGATGGAAGATTTATTTTTGTATAGGTTTAGTATACAGTAGATTTATTTTTGATATAATGATAGATTTATTTTTGATATAATGGTAGATTTATTTTTGAAATGATGATAGATGTATTTTGGATTTTGTGTATTTATCTTCTTCTCTAGTAGGTGATTGACGATGAATGGTGGATCAAAAGATAAACAATATGATGGAAGGGAGTCGAGTTACTGGCACGGAAATGGGGATTTGTTTATCAAAAAAATTATTTGTAGATTTGTTTGCTTGAATAGTGGTAGATTTGTTTATTTAATGGTAAATTTAATTTAGGATTTGATAGATTTATTTGAAATGGTAGTAAATTTCTTTAAATAATAATTTAATAATTGCTTAGTATGTATAATCAAAATGAATGAGATATAAACTAAAAACATATGATACAACCCAATAATATAAAATACATATTCATTTTATATACCAAAAAAAGAAAACAAATAAGCACAAATAAAAAAAAACCATATGTCATTTCTAACACAATCAAGCATTGTCTAGCAAATAACCAAATATCCTAAATGGTTCATTGTAGATTAAAGTAATAGTACAACTTTTCATTAGTTATTGACAATTTAGTACTTCAAAAAATTCATATATCAAACTAAATCTACCATCATTATAAGAAATCTACCACCAAACAATAATTTTTGTCATACTTAGTCCTGTGACGATCATCTTCACGATGGTGGCCTAGTTTTTTTTGCAAATATAAAGTTTTTAGGACAAAATTGTCATTCAACATTCCGTAGTTTCAACAAATCTACCATCATTAATAAATAAAAAATCTATCAATTTCAGATAAATCTACCAATATCAGATATATCTACCTATTTATAATTAAATCTACCAATTTACTAGGGGTGGCCAAAAAAACCATGATTGAGAAAACCAAACCGAACCAAACCAAAATAAGTAAATTTGGTTTGGTTATGGATAACCTAAAAATCCATTCGGTTTTCATTTTTATTGAAATTTTGGTTTCGGTTTGGTTCAGTTTAAAACCGTAAAACCGAATGGGTTCTTTAGTTTTTAGATTTAGTAAATAAATAACTTATATTTTTTTTGGTTTAATAATGTTTTTTTCTAAGGACAGAGGAAGTTGATAAAAATCTGAATTTTCTTCTATTTATTTTTTAGGTTTTTGTAATCTTGATTTTCATTATTGATAATTTGGATTTACATTTGAATTTTTAGTTTTTGAAATTTTTTTACAGTTATTAGCTTAATATATTATTACCATTCATTTTGAAATACACTAAAAACCGTAATCGAACTAAACCAAACCGAACCAAATTGAAAAATGGTTTTTATATGGTTTCAATTTTTATAAAACCGGAAAACTGAAAACCGTAAAAAACCAAACCATACCAAACCGAAATATATGTAGTTTTTATATGGTTTGGATTTTTCTAAAACCGAAAAACCGAAAAAGCCAAACGAAACCAAACCATAAATCGAAGTGCCCACCCCTACAATTTACGATAAATCTACCAGTTTTGTGTTTTTCAAATTGTTATATAAATCTACCATCATTATTAATAAATTTACCAAGTTTTGTACAAATCTGCCTATTGTTAATAAATCTTTCATCTCTTCAAATAAGTCTACTACACATAAAAATCTAGGAACCATATTTTATCATTAATTAAGTCTACCGTGTCTACTAACAAATCTATCATTTCAACAATAAATCTACCAATACGAAGATACACTATTAAATCTACCAAAACATTATTAATCTACCGCCATTAAAAATAAATCTACCGTTATTGAGACTCAAACCATCCAACGATAAGTCTATTATCATTAAACAAAAGTCTATCTCGGACAACAATAAACCTACCGTCAAATAGGATAAATCTACCAATCCGGTATACTATGTACCAAAAAGTCAACCAAAGTCAACCACCACAGAACAAATCTACCAAATCGTATCAAATCTACCCTCAGAATTTTACTAAGTCTACTGATCACTTACATCTCTACCACACATAAGAACAAATCTATCAAAATAAGTCTACCAACATCAAACAAATCTACCGACGTTAAAACAAATCGATCGTTATCTCAGATAAATCTACTGACCCAAAAACAAATCTCTGGTTATAAATATAAGTATACCAAAAATAATATATCTACCGTGAAATATTGGTAGACTTGTTTATTTGAGAGCTTTGGTTTTTCCGTAAATAAATTAAACTTTTACTGAGATGAATTATAAATAGTAATAGCAGTTTTGTAATTACGTTTTTTCTCAAAAAAACTAAAAGGATAAATATGTACGGTAGATTATTCTAGTAATTAAAATTTTTGAAGGCTGTTTAAATAATTTCCGAATTTTTGAAGGATATTATAATTATCCTCCCTTTAGTTATTTGAACTCCCAAGGTCTTGAAATCGTTCTTTCATAGCTGAATGGATCAAGTTTCAACAAATCGAAACTCCAAGATACCCAATATGGAATCAAAGCAAAAAGATAAGTATTACATGAGCTAATCTAAGAATCCTACAACAGAAAGAAAACCAAAGTTCTAAGAAACAATTCTGTCCGGATAAAAAAAATGAAGGGAAAAACCAAAGATATTAAGCAGCTTTCGGCTTAGGAGTCCTCTTCTTCAGACTCCTCTTGGAAGGTGTTGAGTTCTTCATTCCAATAAAGAAGAGCAATGCTCCAAAGAGTGCAACGCTCTGCAAAATCAAAAAGGAATAGAATTTTTATCAAATCATTGTCCATTGAATGATCTTAAAGCTGTGTTCTTTTCGATTCAACGAAGCTAGCTTTGCACCCGAACGCAAACACACACAAAAGAATCTGGACAAACCTGCAAGAACTCGGTCAACAAAGGAGAGAAATGGCGTTCCTCAGGTCCGTAGTTGTAGAAATCATACAGAATAGGACTGACGACAACCAAGTAGAAAGCCTGAAACAAACAAACAGAAATGAATCAGATTTTAAAGTCATACAATGAGTCCCTTATTTGTAAACATGAGATGAAAAACTAACCAGAAGGTAAGCACCGACGATGTTTCCGATAACAAAGAGTAAGCCTCCGACTCCTTTCAGGGCAAGAATAGTAACAACGACTTGTCTCACCTATAAAAAATTCATTTTCACCAGGTCATAAACAAAGACACATAATAGAGAGTGAGAGCACAAGAGAGAAGAACATTATGACCAGGTCGTTTACCTCTATGCTAGGCAAAGTTACACCTAATCTAGAAGATAGATGTGCCTTGGCCAGATCAAGCTTTGGAGCTAATTCTTTAGCTGCAGGACCACCATCAGTTCCAAAGTCATTGAACCTATCAAAAGTCCCCAAAGATGCGTAGTTCAAAATTTAGTAATATGGTCAAAAGAGTGAAAGGATATTTAAGTAGCTTCTTAACATATGGCAATCAAGTTGGTACAGAAACAATCTTATTCCAATGTAGGGTTTACAAAAAGGTTATGATTTTCTCTTCAATTTAGAGACCAAACCAAATTAAACACACAGGATGAGCAAAGTTCTTCGCGTATCATAACCATATAAACAACAACAACAAAAACTCTAATCTGGATTCGTGAAGACATCGATAAAAGGAAAGATAATTTTTCCATTTCTAAATGTAAAAACTAAAAGAGACCAATTCTTTGTAGCTAAAGGCAGATCAACCATGACCAAACAGCATCATACATTGATTGATAAGACAAGATAGAAAAAAAAATTTCGACTGCAGTAACGACATTAAGTACAATGTATCCAGAAATCACCAAAAACCTAAAATTCAGAGTCTGCGACATTGATTAACATGTATTCAAGCTCGCAATACAGAATTTACAGTAAGAGATCTAGATCGAAATATAATACTCAAAAGAGAAAAGTATTCCAAAATCAGAGCTAAGGTAGATTCAGCTAAGCATTCGATAATCCCCAAACCCTAGATATGCTGTAGACTAAATCGAAAGCTTTTAAGATTAGATCTAAGCACGAATAAATTTCCTTTTAAGAAGATCAAATTTCATTGCCAAGCTCACTCAGGGGAGGCATGAAGAAATGGGAGAATAGATCGAGAGAGAGAGAGAGAGAGAGGATGAATGGGAAAAAAAAATCAAAACGAAAACTCACATTTGCCAGGCGGAGAGGATGAAGAGAGAAGCGAAGAGAACTCTTCCAAGAAACGAGAAGAAACCCATCTCTCTCTTTCTTGTGTTTTTTCTCTTGCTCAAGCTCGCTTGCAGGATTCGTCGACGGAGAAGAGAGGGAATCTTCTTCGGCCAAGGGGAAAAAGTTCGGTTCTTCTGTTTTGGTTTTGAGTTTATTTATTTAAACATTTAAAAACATTATCGAAATTTATTAATTTTAACTCTCCCAACCAAAAACAGCAATCCACCACGATCTATTCATCGATTCGTCATCATGATTTTACTTTTTTTTTTTTTTTCATTTAAACATTTAAAACAATATCGAATTTTTCAATTTAACTCTCCCAACCAAAAACAGCAATCCACCACGACCTATATATTATCGATTCGTCTCCATGATTTTACTTGTTTCTTTTTTTTTCGATTGGGAAACTATATCATTAATTAATTACATGTAACATTCATTTAAATATTATTATCTAGACAAAATCCGAAATGTAATAATAATGTTAAGGATAAATAATAAGTTCATAATGGTTAAGGGGAAAAGAAAATAATTTGCTGCTTACTACTTCAATTGTTTTCTTTTTAAAATCTATCTTATTTTTATTCGTATAAAATACAAATTACATGAAGTACATACAACAATAAAATATAATCAGTTACATGATTAAGATTATGGAACAACAATAACACAAAACAATAACACAAAGGAAATAAATATTGAAGATGCTTTTTCTTGAGAGGCGTTGCTTACTAACATAGTATCAACTTTGTTAGTCTTCTTGTGATCTTTAAATGTTCGTCGCATAAACAATTTGAATACCAGTTTCTTTTGTTGTATTACATTGGCCCAATCCCAATTTAGATCTATAGATTTTCTTCCATAAAAAATCATATGTATTGATTTTATCGATAGAAAAAATAATTGAGACCGCTAATCTTCAACGATCGTACGAATATCGCCATACAACAAAAGAAATGCATCTTTGGCTCCAGTCGTCGTCTTCTCCATGAAAACTTCCATGGTTTGATTGATGATACTAGAGTTTTCATATTCAGATACCAAATATACTGTATCAGAATATGATTTTTAAATATTTTTCCTTCGTTATTGAATGTGATCTTCTACTTCTAACCTCTAAGCCATCCACGTTGTATTCCAATTACCAGAAGTGACCACATACCATCATCTCGTCATGTAACTTCCACGGACCGAGTTTTCCAGGATCCCAAATTCGTCGACAAAAACGCCATTTACAAAGAAAAACCGCTGCGAATTGGATAAAGAATTGACAATATCTTACCAAATTAACATCGCAGTGGGTTTTCTCCACCACGAAGATGGAAGATGCCTGACTGGAACCGTCATAAAAGCGCGTCACATTGACATCAAAATCGGAAGTTATCGTCTTCATGAAAAGAGGATAAAGAAAATCAATTGTCATCTTCATGACTTTCTCTCCTAATCACAAAACGAAAAAAACAAAAGACAAAAAATAGAAAAAAAGAGAGTCATCATGAGAAAAAGGACAATATATTTCTCTCTCTCACTCAAGATCTATTACGATCTCACTCAGATAGAGAAAAAGGTTGATGAGAAAAAACTGAAAATAATCGCCATGGAAATCGCCTCCAGAGTGAGACATGGAACGTTTTTTATCTCCTCTCACTTTATTTGTTTTACTACTTCAATTTTTGTTAACACAATATGGATTTTTGTAGAGTGTGTTACCATTAGGTGTATTTTTTGAAAGTATAATGTTCAAAACATATACTTTTAAGTTTTAATTACCAAAAGACATATTTTTTTACTATTTAGCTAAGACAAATAATTGTTTTATCCATTTTGCTTTTTTTCTCACACACCCCTTATAATTGTTTATTGTTATTTATCTATTATTTAAAAATAATCGAATCATTTTTTTAACATTATAAATTATATTTGTTTTTCTTAATACTTTAAGACCCATTTTATATTTTTTAATTTAAATTATTTTGTCGTTTAGTGATATACACATACATATCTATATAATATTGTACACGTAAACATAAATATATAGATATATACGTATACGTAAACATATGTATCTATATAGTTACATATATAGACATAATTATATACATATATATATATATTCATGTGTATATATTATAAATGGATGAAAATATATAAATATAAAGTCAAAAAATGGAAGTAAAATAAGATAAATTCACCATTTTCAAAAAGTGCTTTTTTGACAATTATACTTTCAAAAAATACACCTAATAGTAATATTTTCATTTTTGTATAATAATAATATTATATATAGATAGATATTAATTCTTTAAATAGTGTAATTAAATGGGGATGTAGCTCAGATGGTAGAGCGCTCGCTCAGCATGCGAGAGGTACGGGGATCGATACCCCGCATCTCCAATTTTTATTATTTTCCTCTGTTTTTTGGGCAAACATTATTTTCCTCTGTTTTTTGGGCAAACATTATTTTCCTCTGTTTTTTGGGCAAACATTATTTTCCTCTTTAATCTTCTTGATTTTGTCGGAATCAAAAGTAGTGATTCTGTGAAGATGATTGATACTTTGAATCTTCTGCTTTTCAAGTTCCAACAAGACATCGATCTCTATTAAATGGGCCCCACAGAAACTTATCTTCAATTGCGTCTACGTCTTCTTCTTCTTCTTCCTCAGAATCTCAGCTTCATAACTATCCGCCATTAACTTTTAAAAATAAAACCTTTAAATTCAGAAGAAAAAAAAAACACATAATCATGTCAGAAAAACCAGGAAAAACAGACCTCCCAGCTTCTGTCTCGATGGAAGCAGGAGTGAAAGGACTCGTAGACGCCGACATAACCGAAGTTCCTCCAATCTTCCATTACCCTTCTTATACTTTATCCAACAACAGACCTTCAAACATCTCCGGCTTAAACCTCGCCGTCCCGATCATCGATCTCGGAGGAATCAACGACACATCCGCAAGAAACGACCTCGTTTCAAAGATTAAAGACGCAGCTGAGAATTGGGGGTTTTTCCAGGTGATCAATCATGGTGTTCCTTTAACTGTTCTTGAAGAAATCAAAAATGGAGTTCGAAAGTTTCACGAGGAAGATCCAGAGGTGAAGAAACTTTACTCTCCTACCGTATCAAACAAGAGATTTGTTTACACTAACAGCTTCGAAGATCCCTATCAATCTTCTCCTATGAATTGGAGAGACTCTTTCAGTTGTTTTATTGCTCCAGATCCTCCAAATCCAGAGGAAATCCCACTAGCTTGCAGGTAAATAAAAAAAAAATTAAAATTTTAGTTTTGAAGTGTTTTGGTTTTGAATATATGATGATGTTTTTAGGGATGCTGTGATCGATTACTCGAAGCATGTAATGGAATTAGGAGGTTTACTGTTCCAACTTCTCTCAGAGGCCTTAAGTTTAGACTCTGAGTTCCTTGAGAAGATGGATTGTCTTAAGGGTTTGTTTATGCTCTGCCATTACTACCCACCTTGCCCACAACCTGACCTAACTTTGGGCATAAGTAAGCACACCGATAACTCTTTCCTCACGCTTCTTCTTCAAGACCAAATCGGTGGTCTTCAAGTTCTTCATCATGATTATTGGGTCGATATAACTCCTGTTCCTGGAGCTTTTGTAGTCAACATCGGTGATTTCATGCAGGTAAGCCCGATGTTGGTCTTTTCAAGTCCATTGTAAAATTCTCCATTACTAAGATATTTTATGCTTTAGGTTTAAGAGGGAAAGTCCACACGAATTTGTTTTTGAATTCCTTCCAAAGTTAGAATTGGATTTGAGACCATATTTTTCTAAAATTTCGATTGATATCCCAACATTCCTAAATGATGCATTCTTTTAACCAAAATGCATGCAGAGTCTTTACCGAGAATATTTTGAGACATTTGTGTTTTTGCAGCTGATAACGAATGATAAGTTCTCGAGTGTGGAGCATAGGGTACGAACAAACAGAGATGGACCGCGGATTTCAGTTGCGTGCTTCTTTAGCTCGAGTCTGTCTCCAAATCCCACGGTTTATGGACCGATCAAAGAGCTTCTATCTGATGAAGACCCTGCAAAGTACAAAGGTATCACCATACCAGAGTACACTGCAGGTTACCTTGCGAGTGGCTACGATGGAAAATCGCATTTGTCCAAATTCAAGGTATGAAAAATCTACTTGTCCGGCTTTAAGAAAAGATAATCAGATATCTGTGCATGAAACAATGTAACAAAGAGAAGATGTTTTAAGTAAAACTATTCACACTTGGTGCATGAAACAACAACGTAGCTAAAGAAGAAAAGAGAAAGGATCAAGTGTGTAGCAGATTGATATAAACACATATAAAGTTTCTTTCTTCAGACAACATGAGCTTCCTGCTTATGAGTTCTCTTCCGATTCTTCTCAGAGGGTACCGAGTTCTTCATTTCGAAAAGAAAAGAAACAGTGCTCCAAATTGTGCAACGTTCTGCAATATCAAAATGAATGAGATCTTGTCTTTGTAAGACTAAAAGGTTTAAGATGTAGGTAGAGCTACGTTCTTTTCGATTCAACAAATAGAGTTTTGCACACTAATGCAAACACAGAGTTCCAGTTTCTTGAGATTACGAAAACTCGAAAAATAGTTCTGGACAAACCTGCAAGACCTCTATCAAGAATGGAGAGAAATGACGACCCTCAGGTCCATAGTTGTAGATATCATACATAATAGGACCAACAACCATAAAGTAAAAAGCCTGAAAAACATGGAGACTTTAAGGTCAAACAATTGGCAAGCTTTGAATCTCTTATTTGTAAACATGGGATGATGAACACGAAGAAGCCTAACCAGATAAGCACCAAAGATTTTTCCGATAACAAAGAGTGAGACTCCGACTGCTATTAGGGAAACAATAGTAACAATGGCTTGTCTCACCTTCAAAGATTCAATCTCCAGGTCATAACAAAAAAAAAAAAAAGTGGAGCAGAAGAGAGAAGAGAATCATAACCAAGTCAGGTCGTTTACCTCTAATCTAGAAGATAGATGTTCCTTGTGCAGATCAAGCTTTAGAGCCAATTCTTTAGCTGCAAGACCACCATCAACTCCAAAGCCATTGAACCTATTAAAATTTCCGCAAAGATCCGTAGTTTAATTTCAGTAATATGGTGAAGACAGGGAGAAGGATATTTGAATTTGAGTAGCTTCTTAACATATTGGTTACCAAGTCAAGAAGGAGAATGAATAGGAAATAACAAGAGCAAATAAACTTACATTTGCCAAGCAGAAAAGATGAAGAGAGAAGCGAAGAGGACTCTTCCAAGAAACGAGAAGAAAAACATCTCTTTCTCTTTGTCTTTTAAATCTTGCTCGTAGATTTGTCAATGGAGAGAAGCGGACGACTTCGAGTACTGTCAAGAGGAGACTGAGCAGTGTGTCAACTCAAACTTAAAAAACCAAAACCCATAATATTTTGTTTTGACCAAAGTTTAAAATAAGTCAACTTTTCTCTATATTATTATTAGGATTTGTCAAGCAAGGTGAACTATTCTTCCTCATTATTAGTAGGAGTTGCATGTATGAATAAGCAGATTTCTGTATCTTTATATTATCACAAAGATATTTCGATTAATTCGACCATTTCGATTGTTTTATTTACTTCCAACTTCATGCCTGAAATAGCAATGTAGCTAAAAAAGAAGGATCAAGTGTGTAGCATATTGGGGATAAAGACATACAAGCTTTCTTTCTTCAAACTACATGAGCTTCGTTTTTGAGCTTATCTATCAACTCATCCACTGAAGAAACGATAACTCCAGATTTTCTCTTTGGAGGCTCTGTGACTTCCACGATCTCTATGTCCGATTTAATGTCTACTTTCAGATCCTCCAACGTCATTTTCTTTATCGGCTTCGATTTTGCCTTCATTATGTTGGGGAGTGTTGCATATCTTGGTTGGTTCAGCCTCAAATCAGTTCTGCATTATAACATTAGAGCTGTTAAAAGAGAAAAAAAAAGAGATCTGTTGCACATTATATCTATTCAAGCTAAATGCTAGTTAGCTCAATCCGGTTAGCTCAAAAGGAGCATTTCAAAGTTAGTAAATGCATTTATATATACAAACCTCAAACCGAGAGAGATCATGATACAGAACTTACGTTATCACAGCGGGTAAGTCTACACTAAGAGTTTCAAGACCTCCATCTACTTCTCTATCCACGGTTGCAACATGCTTATCGTTATCCAACACAACCTACTAAACAACAATGAGCAGACGCATGAACAAAATAGACTCGGAGAGTAGAAAATGGATGATAATCTGAAAAGCATTAATTCACTTGTTTACCTTTGATGCAAAGGTTGCTTGTGGCCAACCAAGCAAAGCTGCAACCATTTGTCCTGTTTGATTGCAGTCATCATCTATTGCCTAAACGTGAAAAGACAATAAACATTACATACAAATAAAAAAAAAGAGCAGAAACAAAACTTGATCCCAACATCAAGCAAAATCCAACATATCAAAAGCATGATCTATTCTGTACAGTACCAATATTTCTATTACCTAGCAACATAGATTATGTAATGAACATTAATCAAATTAATTATTTGCGAAAGCTTGTTAGATCCCTAACCTAACAAGATTGCCTCATGAAGGAAACAAAACAGAAGTTTATCTCTTCTTGATAATTTGAAAAACGTTCAATGATCAATGTTCATCATCTTAAACGATCCACAGCTTAAGGAAAAGGTTATACGCATAAATTGATGAGTGAAAATCGATTCTTTCGGCTTCTGAATACTCAAATACTTGAACGTTAGCTCGAATTCAGTTTTGAAATCTCAAAATCCTAGATATCGTGTTCTGAATACTTAAAAACCTGAACTTAAGCTCAAGTTCAGCTTGGAAATCTCAAAAATCCTAGAAACGACTTCTGAATACTTAAAAAACTGAACTTTAGCTCAAATTCAATTTTGAAATGTCAAAAATCTAGAAATTTGGCGTACCCAAATCCAAAATCCGAGTGATGATCAACCAAGTTGTAAACTTTTCTTTACCTGTTTCCCGAGGAAAATCAATCCAGGATTCTCGACTTCAGCGAGACTCCTCAAGATCTTAGCAATCGTCAAAGGGAGGAAACTAGAATTAGCCTCGACATGGATCCCACGATCCGCACCCATGGCTAGACCAGTGCGAAGCGTGTCAACGCACTGTGAAGGACCGATACTCACTGCGACGACCTCTTTGGCGAAACCAGCTTCTTTGATTCGAAGAGCTTCCTCAAGCGCGATCTCGCAGAATGGATTCATCGACATCTTCACATTCTGTGTATCTACACCAGTCTGGTTTCCCCATTAAAAGGACTCGAATTTAACGAAGATTTCAACGATTACGGAGAAGTGAGGAGATGGGTTTTGACTTTTGAGTTTACCTTATCGGGTTTGACACGGATCTTGACGGCGTAGTCGACGACACGTTTAACTGCGACGAGAATCTTCATCGTCCGGTGACAGAAGGAAAAAGAATAAGGAAGTACAAAGCAGAAGCACTTTCGTTTTTCTTGGGATCTAACGATGAGTCGATGATGACTCATCAAAAAATGGCCTGATATTCGGTTTTTTCGGTTCAACCCGGTTAACATTTTTTCTGGTTCTGTGAGGACCGAACAAATAATGGATTTAATTCGGTTCGATTAGAATTTTTTCGTATAATTTCTTTGGATGAACTCTGGTAGTGACATATTTCAAGTTAAATTTGTTATCTGAGAAATGAGAAATTCGATCTAAGAATTTTTTCACAAGAAACTTATTGAAGTTATGAAGTTTTAAGAAGATTTGGTGGTTTTATTGTTGTTGTTACCAAAAACTGGTTTTCTGGCCTTACGAGTTTAAATCAGTGGCAGAGCCAAGAATTTTTTTAACCGGGGTCGAGGAAGGCATCCAATATGAAATTAGGAAGATTAATTAAAATTTTTTTAACAAATTCTTTCAGCAATAACATACATTAATAAGTTTAAGTTCTAATTTTTATAATTTGACTTGGATCAATTGATCACTCCACACTCCATGTAACCTCGCCATTGGTTTAAATACACCATATGTAATAGGAGATAGAACATTTGGGAGGTGGGTATTGTGCAGATTCCAAATCTAAAATACATCCATGATGATCTATCATTTGCGGTTAACAATATATGGTACATGGTATCTTTGAGGAGCTGGTTTGGTAGAATATGAATATCTATATAATAACCACACCAAAAAGTAAAAAGTATTTTCAGAACTAAAGATTTTCCAAAGGTTATATACCAAGGACATTGTAACGATGGCAAAATATCTTAGAAGTGGTTCTTCGTTTTTCACTCCTATCCAAGATTCTAAACAAACAAAACCAATTTGTAAATGCAAGAGCTGATATATCAAGAACAATAACACAACTTAGCACAAGGTTTTCTTTACTTGAAACTTTATTGCTAGTAAATCTGTTAATCAAACCATACAAATTTGCCTAATACGATTTAAAACAGATTCAAGACACATTTTGATCTGTCAAACTAGCCTCCCATGTTCTTCGATCTGTACTTAATTGATCTCAGAAATCCCTAGAAAATCCCTTTACCCTTGATGCAGAGTCTAATACACGAATCTCTCACCCTTATGTTAAGTTTTCTTTAGTAGTTGTGTTAAGAATATACAATGCTTCAACACCATCTACTTATACCTAGTAGACTATGCGGCTCTACATGCCAAAACCCTTCACCCCAGATGTCTTTTCTTGATCTTGGTGTATATTTCTTATTTCCTTAAACTTTTTCATGTTTAAGAAAATCTTCCATTCTTCTAGATCCACTCTTCTACTCTCGCCCACCTCCGCTCCTTTCCAAGACTTGCATTCCCATTGGTCTAGCTCAGCTACAAGTCCCATTCCACATTCTTCTGCATTCCAGACGTTGAAGTGTTCCACACTCCAAGCTTGTGCTACTTCATGCCTTAGTTCCACTGACACAGCAACTACTTCAGACGCAGCTACATCTTCAGTCTCCCCCTTTTTAGCTTTGTGTGTCACACAAGCACCTGTTCAAAGACATGACAAACACAACACGAAAACACACACAAGGCAAAAGAACCAAGGCAACCAGAGCAACTGAATGACATTCCATAAACTGAAAAGTCAGAAGGACAAAGTCTTGAACCACAAAAGCCAAAAAAAGTTTAGGAGAAAACAAAATAACATAACCACCTCCTTACTCCCCCAGAAACTTAGCCTAATTAAACATAAACTAAAATATTACACAAGCGCTCAAGCACCCGCATCACGCGGAACTTCTTCCTACATTCCTTCTCTCCCTGCTTGTGAGCACAGAAGTTAAAAAACCAATCAGTGGAACAACAAAATTTACAAGTTAAAATCCGAAGACTTACTTGAAAACGAGTTGATCACCATGTCAACTACTCCATGCAGCTGTGCCATCACCCGACTCACATCATGAAGAGCCATGGTTACTTCATTGTCACTTGCAGGTGGCAATGATACCTGAATGACTCCCAGAGGGACATCCTGAAAGTTCCCACGAGCATAAGCAAATAGCTCAAAACCTGCATTAGGAGGTGGCACACGGAAGGACCTGAGTGGCACACTCGATGGTCATGCTTGTTGCTTCTTAGACGACTGCAGTGGTGGAGAAGGTGATCGTGGTGCCTCAGCCCTTTGTTTGCCCTTCCGCATATCCTTCTTCGCTGCAGCTGCCTCCTTTTTGATGAATTCCTCACCACTTCGAGAGTCTTTCTTGTACCGAAATGGTACAATGTGAATCTCTCTTTTCCCCAACTGAGGCTTATGCTGCAAATTCAGAATCTTCTGAGTCTGACACGGAAACAGCAGCCAGCGAGTGTCCTTCTTGATTATCCTGCTCATCCCCATGATCTGTTTGAAAACCAACTTTCCGAAGTCCTCTCTTATGTGTGACGCACTTTGTACACCAGTCGACCGCATTCTTCAGAGATGTGCGTCTTGTTAGTGGAGAGAATCCAGTTGTATGTGGCAATCACAACCATTGCTGCAAACTTTGGAGGCAAATCTCTCGAAATCAGTTCACCAAAGACCTGTTTACTTCCTTTAGACAGATGCTTCGTGATGTCAGACAGCGAGATCGTCTCCGCACTTTCTTCCTCCTGTACTTCAGCCTTAGACAAAGGCTCCAGATTGAGTGCACGATTGATTATGGCTGGGTAGAATCTGTATTCGAACCTTCTCCGTGTGACTCGAACCTCTTGATCTAGATCAGCAGATGACTCAATCGGCAGATCCGCAAACTCTTGAACCACCTGTGGCACATACAGAGCTATGTCCACTACTATTGCCTCCAATCCACCATCCTTGATAAATGTGATGTACCCCCATTCATCCGTCTCACCTACATCAACACTTCTCTCAGACCAAAGCTGTCGAGTGGCAAAGTGATCATACATAGTCTTGAGTAGAGAGGACTTCTCCTTGCGAGACTTAGATTTCTTGGCCTTCTTTCGCGATGGAGCCGGTGAAGTTTATTCAGTCGGAGGAACTAAGGAGGAATCGGTTCGAGCCTTCTTCGCTGCCACTGGAAGACTTAATGCATGCAATGTCTTTCTTTTCTGTACTATTTTTGCAGCTTGTTCCTACACCAAAATCGAGGTCAGTGAGGCTCTTCCGTCAGACACTGCCTCTTCCTCCTGAATCTTCTCTCCTGATTCAGGATTCGGCGGCTGGATTTCTTCCTGTTGAACCTGAGGAGGTTGAGATTCTCTTGATTTCTTGCTCGCCTCAGGCTCCAATGGACCACCCTTTTCTTCATCGATCTTCTGAGTGGATTCCGAAGCAACCTCTTTGTCTCCGTCGGTTTGCCTTCCCTCTAGCTCCACCGATGAACCACTGCGAGTCTCACCATCTTCGTTCGCAGTGGCAAAGGATTCAGCACTTTTTGCTGCTTCACCAGATGCCTATGCGCCTCCGTCGACAAGTGAAAATGTCGGGTTCAGCTCCTCCTCGCTCGATTCGTCCACCAGGTGCGGTCGTTGCTCATCTCCATCTGCATGTGTCTTTTTTTCACCATATTGCATACCAATGAGGCCCCTGTGGGTTGATTTCAACATGATTGCTTCAATTTCTTGCTCTTCTCTCGGTGAATTAGGGTTTAAATCAGGAAGTGTCTCAGATCTTTCATCTCACTTCCCATAAATAACTCCCCCACTTTTCACTTTCCCACTTCTTTTCAACTTCCATCGATACTGGGCCTTTTTGTTTTTCTTCTCCTTGGCACATTAAGCAAAAAGCCCTATGTTCACATAATGAAAAAAACTCGGCCCACTATCCTGTTTGACATGCAACAACATTTCTGGGACAACAATCTGAATCAGATCCAGACACATTTAAAAGAATTGACAATCATGGGCACATTCAAATCATAAACCAAATGATAATTAAATTGATAGTGATTTTGCAAATATCACCTATGCACTGGCATTTAAAAAAAACAACTTTGTACTGTATTATTTACCCATTTTCTTCGAAGTGCAGCAATATCTAACACAGTCTCTGAGTCATGAGACACCCCTCAGCCTGTCCTGATTCAACTAGCTAATAGGCACAACTGACTCCAGACTGAATCTGAACCTTGAGTGTTCCTTGAGTCAGCTGCTGTATCAGTCCTGCACATTCATAAACCATCACATACCACAAATACCAATTGAGTTTCTTAAGGTGAAAAAACGGTTAAAATCTAGTGGTTTTGTGAATAAATCATCCAGTTGCAAATCAGTGACAATATGCTCTACCACTGCTTGTTTAGTCCTTGAGTGCTGCACTGGATTCTTTGATATGTTTATGGCGTTCTGGCTGTTGCAGTTGAACCAGTAGTGGTCCAGAATCCATCCCATAGTCTGCAGACATTTGCTTCATCCACAACAGCTGACTGCAGCAGCTTCCCATAGCAATATATTCTGCCTCTGAAATAGATAGTGAGACACAATTTTGCTTCTTGCTCAACCATGAGATAAGATTGTGTCCGAGAAAGAAACAACCTCCACTAGTTCTTTTTTGATCATCCACACTTCCAGTCTAATCAGCATCAGAGTATCCTACCAAGTTTTTGTTAGATTCCTTGGAGTACCAAATCCCCAGATCTACGGTCCCCTTGACATACTTGATGATCTTCTTGACTGCTTCGAGATGAGACTGCTTTGGTTTCGCCTGATATCTAGCACAGATGCCTACACATAGGCACATATCGGGTTTACTTGTAGTGAAATACAGCAAACTTCCAATCATTCCTCGGTACAGAGCCGGATACACTTCTTTTCCTTCTTCATCTCTGGTAAGCTTGGCTGTAGTACTCATTGGGGTATTTGCCTCCTTACACTGGTCAAGTTTGAACCGGGTTAATAGTTTCCTTGCATAGGTGCTTTGAGAGATGAACACACCATTCTCAGATTGAGTTATCTGCAACCCCATAAAATCCCGCAGCTCACCAATCATGCTCATCTCAAACTCTTGTGTCATATTTGTGACAAACCAATCTACAAGTTGCTTAACAGTTCCACCAA